CCCCCCGCCCCGCGCCCCCGGTTCCTGCGTCTCTGCGGGGTCGTTCGGGACTTGTAGTCCACCGGGGTGCACCGGCGCCGGTGCACCCCGGTGGACTGCAAGTCCCGAACGACCCCGCACCGGTATCACCCACCCGTCCTCCCCGGGGGACCCCCTCGACGGCACAGAGAGGGGGCTGCGGGTCCCCGGTGGGCAGCAAGCCACCCTATGGGGGACCCTGGGCACCCCCCTTACCCCCCCCCCCCCCGCCTCCCCTTATATAAAACCCCATAATCCCCTTATGGAGGCTGGAGATTACGGGCAGCAATTGGAGTGGGTGCTCCCATGCTGGGAATGGGTCACCCCGTCTGTGTGTCCCTGTGTCCGTCCCCCCACCCCCACCCCGGGGATGGCCCCAAGGGGGATCAGGGTGATGCCAGGCTCCCTACGACAGCGATGTGGTGTGGGGGATAGGACCCTAATGCCCCTCCCCAAGCCTGCAGCCCCCCTCTCGCAGCCCCCCAGGACCCCCCCCCCCGGCCATGCCCAGCTGCTGTGGGAGAGGAGCAGGTATTAGGGCAGGAGCCGTCTGCTTGGGAAGCGGATAATCCGTGGGGAATTGGCCACTGGAAGCCTATTAAAATACACCACGAACAGCCAGCTGGCAACCCCCGCCCCAGCAGCAGGAATTAGACTGCACCTCTGCCCCCCCCAAAGCTGGGGAGCCCACCCGGGGGGAAGGGGCACAGCCAGAGGGGCATCGCTCACATTCCCCAGCCCCATGTGAAGGTGTCCCCCCCCAGGGAAATGAGACACAGACCCACGGTGGCAGCGGTTCTCCATGTTGGAGCTTTATTTGCAGGGCAAGGAGGGCCTGCACGAGGCGGAAGGGGGGATGGCGTGAGGCCGGGCAGGCGACACTGTCCTCAAACTCCGGCAGAGGGTCACTGAGCTATAGCCGACTGCGCAGCGACTGCAGCAGCATCTCCAGCTGCTCGTCCAGGGACCGCTCGTCCCCGTCGTTGGTGATCACCCAGTCGAAGGCCACTCCCTGGTCCAGACCACACTCAGACTCGGTGTCATCCACCCCTGGCGATGAGCAGAGCCCAGGTGAGGCCCCCGAGGTGGGTCAGGATCCGTCCGTTCATCCGTCCCCCTGGGGCTGGGGGGCTTTATCCAAAACCGCCAGCTCCCACAGCCAGGGGATGGCAGTGGAGGCGGCAGAGCCGTGCCCGTGGGGCAGCCGCGGTGCCAGCGCAGCCCCGGGTTTGGCAGCGTGCTCGGGGAAGCACCGCTCGCTCGCTCACCGGTGACGAAGACCCAGTTCCTCCTCTTCCTCGTCTCCTCAGTGGCCACCACCCGCACGGTCTGCACCACATCACCGTAGACATCCCGGAACCACTCCACGTCCGAGAGGCGGCGCGTGTCGCTCACCACCTGCGCAGGGGGGGCTCCGTCAGCACCCACCCTGCGCCCTCCACACCCCCTGTGTCCCCCCCACCGCTCACCCACACTGGCTGTGCTGCCCCCTCCACCGCTGTCCTGCAGAAGAAGCCGGGGTCAGCACAGCGCTTCTCCTCGCCCCAGCGGATCATGTCCTGCCGGTACATCTCCTTGTAGGCGCTGGCGTCCAGGAGCCGCTGGAAGTCCAGGCCGTGCTCCTGCGGGGAGAGGGGGTCAGCAGGCACGGCCTGTGCCATGGGGCATGGCGCGGCGTGGCGCGGCACAGCACGGCACAGCAAGGCTTGGTGCAGCACGCCATGGCACGGCAAGGCTTGGTGCAGCACGCCATGGCACAGCACGGTGCGACACAGCGTGGCATGGCATGATGTGGTGCAGCATGGTGCGGCATAGCACAGCGTGGTGCGGCGAGGCACAGCTCGGCACGGTGTGGCGCAACGCGGAGCGGCACAGCGTGGTGCAGCTCGGCGCAGCGTGGCACTGCTGGGCGTGGCACCGCGCGGCATGGCATGGCAGCGCGTGGCAGGGCCGGGGTACCTTGGCATATTGCTCCTTGAGGGGCCCAGAGAGGCGCAGGACGGTGCCCACGTCAGGGCCCAGCCTGCGGGAGAGCAGTCAGCGGCAGCGGCACCG